CCCCCCTGCCAGCACGCCACCTGAAAACGTTGTCTAAACGACGGGGTCAAAATCACACAATGTAAACAAAATTTGAAACCAGAATTATAATTAGAAAGTTTAATGCAACATAAACATGACTTTTATTCGTCTATATCTGTGCGAATATTACAGGTACAATAATTTTACGCATATCAGCTACATTTTGGTACAAGCTATAACATTGTATAGCTAGATTATTGAGCGATAATTCGTTGCCTAAACGAGGGTGTAAAAATTGCCGTCGGAATATACATTTTAGTCGGAAATCGGAATATATATTATGTCTGGTTTTAGGCACGAGTTTGAATCGCTTATATTAATTCGAAATTTAACGACATACCAGGGCATTTTTTAACTATATAACTGGGGGGGGCCAAAGCCCCTCCAGCCCCCATGGTGGCCCCCCCACTCAACCATTTTGGCCCCCCCAGTCAAAGTCCTTTTTCTCTAAAATATAAGCAAAACATTGAATTTAGAAGGGAGGTTTGATATTCTAGTAACTGAAATTTGCTTTGTGAATCTTATGTCCTGTCTTTTATGTTTAATAAATACCTTAGATTTTAAACATTTCCCAGGCAGTGGATTGCATTTCCCAGACCCTATAGATTTGAGTTGTTGGACAAGTTAGTGACCGCAGGGGGCAACAGACCCTCAACCAAGTGTTTTATAAGGGGAGGGGGGGGGGATAATTTTGGCCCCCACCAAAAAAAACCCAATTTGATTTCGAAACTAGAAGTATTTGAAATCATATATACATATAATCAAATATCTGTAATCGATATTTTGATAACATTTCTCGTAATAATCCATCCTGACTCGCGGATATTATAGACTCACAAATCATAATGAACGAATTAATGAAAGGGCCAAACAAAAGACGTATAGAAGACTTTGAAAATGCCATTTCCGATGATTTAGAGACGCAAAATTTTCAAAAATTTTCCACTCTGTGCCAACCATGGTGGCGCTTCGTGGGAGTCGGGAACTCTAAGTTTATCAAGCTGGCTCCCTAAGTGACGGCCAAGTTGTGGTATCTACATAAACATACTATGCAAGTACTTAACTGAAGGTTCAGTCTATCTACAGCATAATGTAATGCTGTATATCCAAAAATCTGTTTCAGAAAATGCAGGGAATTGCAGTCATAGGGGTAGAAAAATACAAAATTTTCTGGGGGAGAAAACCCCAGACCCTCTCCAGGGCCGTAGGGTCATTCATTTTTCAAAATCATGCAGACCTTTATTATTTAATCCATGACAAACTGCAAAGAATGAAGATATTACCCATACTTTCTTGCAACTTATCCAATATATCGTTAATTAAATACACCTTCGTCCATTTAGTACTACTGAATTCTAAATTTCCACATACTAAAAACGCTGTTTTCTGACAATCAGAAATCTGTCAAATCTTCCCCAAAGTCCAGGAAATGGCATTTCAGAGACTCTAAATTTAAAAATTTCCTCGGGCCTTCGGCCCTCGCTTTCAGCCCCCCCCCCCAAACGAAAAGAGCTTCCTACGGCCCTGCTCTCCCTCCCCCCCTACTATTAAATGCGATACCACACCAAACTTTTTGTTACCAACAAACCATCTATGATTGCTCCACACTCGGTATAGTATGGTCCTTTTTGTAGATGGCCCCCCCATTGACGAATTCTTAAAAATGCCCTGATCCGTTCCGCATCCGTTCCGTTCCGCATCCGCTTCCGCGTTTTAACCTAACCCCGCCGTACTTTGAGAAAAGCTTGAAATGCAAAATTCACAGGAAAGATTGAAGAATTTCGGAGATAAAAACTGTTTGTCTTCGAGTTTCACCTGTTCACCCCCCGGTTGAGAAAAGTAACAATTACGTAATGTTGGAGTCACGTGACCAGCGTTTACCAGGGCTACGTCGCCGCCTTCAATTCGCGACTAGCCCTGGGTACGAGGTTGGTTATGACAATGCTTATAAAATGGGGATCGACTTTCTGTATTTTTCGTTGTGTTTTTTTTTTGGTTTCACAATGACAGACGCGACTTTCCATCAAGAGATCGCAGTCTCAGGGTACAATGTTCCAGTTCAGTTTCAAGATGGCGGCCAGTTGAGTGTGACATACTTTTCAAAATAAGTAACTGACATACTTTTCAAAATTCAAATTGTTATTACCATTTAATAGGTGTGGCTACCAAAGCCTTGCGATATGATTGGTCCGAAACGTTGCAAATCGCCAATGTAAGCGGCATGTGCTAAAACCTGGACTGGACTCTGAACTGGACTATGGACTGGATTATGGACTGGACTGTACCATGGACTGGACTGGACGATGGACTGGACTGGACGATGGACTGGACGCATTTCGGCTAAAACCTGGACAATGGACGATTTTTATTTAGCTACAGACGTTTTAACAAATTCAGTCTCTGCAAATTCAGTCTCTGGCTATGACTTTGTCACTATAGACCGCTATACTCTCAATTTGACACACCTTAATGATTAATTAAATAGAAATTATACAACTTTACAACATTTTAATCAATGTTACAATTCTCGACGTTGCACTTTTATCGCGGCCTGTTGATTATCGTAAATCTATTGTTCTATCACGTTCAAATTTTCCATGGAATATACCTTCTCGGAAGTTTAACAAGGTGATTAAAGTAACAATAAAATTGAAATGAAAATGTTTTACTGGTAGTATAACGCTGAAGAATGCATTTTTTTAGATATTAATCGCCTAAATATATATACCGTAACTTAAACACCTCGTGTGTTGTTGAAGCACGTGTATTCATCATTCTTCAGGAAAAAGGATTTCTTCTGCGAATTTATTAGAAGTTTCAGATCCCGAAATCCCCAAATCACTTGGCAAGTACTGTATAAGTTATAGTTTGTAGCAAAACAGTTTTCGCTTTCAATAATTGGCGTGCGTAAATAACCGGACCGACATTTTGTACTTATGTCGCAATAAATTCCATGGTTGCCCATCCCCCCGGGCATTTGTCGGGCATTCACAACTGTACTTGTAGTCGAACTGATTTATCGCTTGTTTCGCCATTTAGCCGCACTTTAGTAGTTTAGTACGTATGTTTACACGTGCGTGCGTATCGCAAATTAATCATGGCGGACACACACAAGACTTTTCTTGTCCATCCTGTTGATACATTGTTGATACTTCTGCAGTTTGATATTGCTATATAAAGTTTCGAGATTTCAATATTTTAATTAAAAACGTTTTGAAACGAAATGGATACAGAATCGATTTTAAATACAGATATATTGATACGAGATAGAGCTTGGATTCGATTTTTTGGATCAGAAATCCTCAGAAAACTTATATTTTGTCCCCCAAGGGTGGGGCATTTTCGTGAATGTAAGTCCCCAAGGGTGGGAATTTTGTTGCATTATTTGGACCCCATACTGGGGCATTCGCAACGTTTTTTCGCCAAAATGACAAAAGCCCGACAAACGCCCGGGGGGGGGGGGCTTGGGCACCCATGGAATTGATTCAGACATTAATTGTAGAGAATGTTCTTCTCAAGCTACGACATCTAGATCTATCTCCCACAATCCACAAAGCGCACCAAGAAGTACTGAAAAAGGTAAGTAAAATCGTTTTCAAACTTGATGTTTAAGAGCTCGAAATCTCAAATAATATTTTGCAATTCTAGATTCCCCTTATTACGTTTTCGTAGCGCTTTCCATTGCACTATAACCACAATACTCTGCTAACAGGGTATAACCACAATGGAAAGCGCTACGAAAACGTAATAAGTGGAATCTAGAATTGTAAAATGTTATTTGAGATTTCGAGCTCTCATTGAATATCAAGTTTGAAAACGATTTTACTTACCTTTTTCAGCACTTCTTGGTTCGCTTTCTGGATTGTGAGAGATATATAGATCTAGATGTCGTAGCTTGAGAAGAACATTCTCTACAAATACGAAATGTCGGTCCGGTTATTTACGCACGCTAATTATTGAAAGCGAAAACTGTTTGGCTATTTTGCTACAAACTATAACTTATACAGTACTTGCCCAGTGATTTGGAGGATTTCGGGGTCAACCGGTCAGGAAACTTCTAGTAAATTCGCAGAAGAAATCCTTTTTCCTGAAGAAAGATGAATACACGTGCTTCAACAACACACGAGGTGTTTAAATTACAGTATATATATATATATATATATATATATATATATATATATATATATATATATATATATATATATATATATATATATATATATATATATATAAGGCCGAAACGGTACCGTCTGTAGTTAGATATTGCTCTATGGCCTTAAGGTCATATTGAGCACTCTACTGGATGAGCCATTGCTGCTTACGCATTATGCGCATGCTCACTGCTTGCAGTTTGAGCACTCTGGCAATGGTTTGATGTCCCACATTCGTGAGACATCAAAGGTAACTATTAATACTAGTTACTTTCATCCTGCTCATCAGCACTACCGGTACAAAGATTAGATACTATAAAGATGTGTCACTCGACGTATTTCCCTAATGTTTGCGTGTCCGTAATTTTCACTTACTGCCACAATGGCGGCGAGACTGATGGCGTTGAATTTTACTATTTAAGAGACTGATGGCGTTGAATTTGACACTTACTGACAAAATGGCGGCTATAAAAAAATCTCGGACATAATTTTCGCAGAGTGACACATCTTTATAGTATCTAATCTTTGGCACTACACTGATGAGGCCGAAACGGTACCGTCTGTAGTTATATATATATATATATATATATATATATATATATATTTAACACAGATAAGTAGAGACTGTAAATCGAAAATTTACAACTGAACGTCTAGGCGGTCTAGATGCCTTCGGCGAAGCGACTATAAAATACAGGTCACTTCGATTTAAAAGTATAACTACACAGTATATCAAGCAATTATCCACATACAAATAAGTAAATACCCAATAGACATGCATACCTTTGAAAACAACCTCCATGTATTTTATTAGGTCTTTGGAACTTTATAAATAGAAAATTTGAATAAAAATCTTTATTCTGTGCCCAAAAGATCGAACTTGGGCCACTTGGCGCTTGGTGTCAACAGATCGAATTACTACAACACGTGATATATTCTAAGCATGTTAATTGGTTGAAACTCCACTTGTCGCAAATTATATTCAGAAGTTCAAATTACAGATTTACGCAGCAAATAAAAAATAGACAAAACTGATATACTGAGAGCAATGACAGTGAATTAATTTGACGAGAAAAACTCGATCGTCGCGTGCGATTGAACAATAAGAAGCCGATACTGGTAATAAAGCAATCTGACTTGGCAACATTCAAGAAAAAGCGCGTCAACCAGCTAGGTCTTTTGATGATTTTACACGAACTGCAGGCTTTCACTACGAATTTGTATAGCAAATATCGCCCTAATTCAAGGTTGAAGAAACTTGAATATAGTTTTTGTCATTCCTATATGACTTCCTATGTGTAATGGTCGAGTTATATCACACAGGCGGAATAAAAACTAGGCGGAGTATTACTCGATATTTTTACTCCTACTTAAAATTTACTCCGTTATTCCGTTTATGAGTAAAATTTAATTACTCCGTTATAATTTACTCCTTTAAGTGGAGTTAAATTGTCCCTCAGTGGAGTATATGTTCGAATACATATCGAAGACTGAAAGGTAGTTTTTTAACTTCATTTTTGGAGTAAATTTAACTCGAAAATTTTAACTCCCAATTTTTAATTCTCAGTGGAGTTAAAATAACTCCTTGAAATTAACAGTGTACACTCAACTAAATGACCAATAAAAAATTGGTTGTAATAACTTTTATAAATATTGGTCGAAAGATGACCAATTTTTTCGACCAAGTAATAGTCAAAGGAACCAAATTTAATTGGTCAAATGCGACTAACTAAGTTAAACAATTGGTCAAAATGACAAATTGCCAATGGTTGCAACCGCTAAAAAATTGGTCATTTTAACCAATCAGTTTTTATAGTGCTGTCTGTTGTTTTGACAGCGGTATACTTGTTTACTTGGCTATGCTTTAATTATTCTTTACACGAACGTATAAATTAGAAATCATATTTGAATGAATGTAATTAAAATCAATAAATTTTTCTTTTTTATTGTTTTAAACGGCTATTTAATAAAGGAAATGGAATACATTTTTTCCGTTTTCCTATAGAGTTATAGAAACACTTGTGGAAGTTTGGGAGGAACTCGAAATTGCGTGGAAACACTCGCACTTCGTGTTCGTGTTCCCACGCAATTTATCGATCTTTCTCCTATATAAACTTCCTCAAGTGTTTCTATAACCCTATAGGAACAGGGAAAAATGTTTTCTATTTCTTAAATATCAGCCGCCATATGTTGGTATACAGGTTGTAGAAAAAAACCTGAACAAAGTGATGAACCAGGCGGGAATCGTAATCGTAATATGATAAACTTTTATACGGTAAACCATGAAATTCTCTTCTCCAAACTACAACACTATGGGGTCAGAGGAACATGTCTACAATGGTTTATGAATTATTTAAACGGAAGAACTCAAATAGTAAAAGTTAAACAGCATAGATCATCTGAAATGAATGTTACTACAGGAGTCCCAGAGGATTCAATTCTTGGTCCATTATTATTTCTTTTATACATTAATGACATTGAGAACTGTAGTGATATTATTTCTTTCGTTTATATGCTGATGATACAAATGCTTTCTATTCAAATTCGTGCTTGAAAACATTATCTAGTACTATACAAAATGAACTTGATAAGATAGTCAATGGCTCAATGCAAATAAATTATCAATCAATGCATCCAAAACAAAAATTGTCATTTGTAAGTGCAAAATTAAATCACTGGATTCACAGATAACAATAAAAATAAATAATGATATAATTAAACAGGTACCTTAATTCCGTAAAGTTCTTAGGTGTCACTATTGATCAAAAGTTGACATGGACTAACCACATCAACTCAGTTTTAAAAACATAACTAAATCTACAGGTATGATTGCTAAATTAAGACATTATACAAATAAAAACACTTTGAAATTGATTTACTATGCATTGGTCTATCCATATACTTACGTACGGAAATCTAGTTTGGGGTACATATCCAACAAGATTACAGAAGTTATTAAAGATACAAAAGAAAATTGTCCGACTAATCTTATACAGATCATTCAGAACCTTAATTTTTTAATCTTAAAATCTTGAATATCTACAAAATTAATGATCATCTTTGCAGTCTATTTATGTATCGCTGCATGAATTATGATCAAATTTTGCCAAACTTTTACAATTGTCCTTTATTCAAAATAAAGAATTGCGTAATTATAATACGCGATTACACGTTAGATACAAAAGGACGAACTATCGTGTTCACACTGTTTTTAACAAGAGAATTTCATCGATATGGAATTGTCTTGATGAAGAAATTAAAAATCAAAAATCGTATTTTTCCTTCTAGAAAAAAGCAAAATTAAATTACTTGTTAATATAAATATTGTTAGCTAAAATATGTATGATATATATTGAACCAATTTTAATAGATTTATGTATTTTATTTTAATCAAAACAATATAGGGGCCTTATATCAAAAGTCCAACAGGATTTCAAAAGGTCCCTAGCTCCTTTATACTATTGTATTTTAACTATATTTCCATTGTAAATATTTTTGTGAGCAAATATATTCCATTCTATTCTATAAAGATTAATGCCCAGCATAAGGTACGCAAAAGAGCCATATAGACAAGAATATAGACATAAAATTTATTTAAGAAGTACTAACGTTTCTTCTTTAACATAAGTTAAGACATCTTCAGAGTAAATTAATATAGTATGACAATGAGTTACAAATATGAATGAATTACTATTTACAATATCAAATTACAAGGTAATAGGAATGCAGAGGATGGGTGGGGGAGTTAGGGACCATTCATTATTTATGACCGGGGGTGGACTGGCAAAATTCCATTAACAGCTAAACAAAAGGTCCTGCCCCACCCTCTGCATCACAAAAAAATTCAATGACCCCCTTCACATGAATTCTAAAAAATAGTAACCCCTCCCCCCACCACCACCACCACCCCACCGACAATATAATAAATGTACTGTACTGTATAGAAATGAGCTCTTTAAACTTGTTGTAAAAGGCATCAGATCTTTCATTTACTTGTGCTTTCAACAATTAATATGCATGCCTATTTAACCCATTAAGCTGCAGAGTTTCCTGTTGACGAGTAAAATCGTCTGGCGTAAAACAAGTAAATAAATAAGTACTGGGGTGCAATGGGTTAACTAGAGACATTGTCAGATTTTTTGGTTAACCCATTAAGCTGCAGAGCGCCGAAGAGGCTAAAGCTGTGGGTCAAACCATTTTTCACTACTAAGAGTGCAGTAAAAAGTTGCTCAAAAAGGAAAAAGTTGCTTGGAGTTGCTCGAGCCGAAAAAAGTTGCTCCAAACGCAAAAAGTTGCTCAAAAGTTGACAAGCACAATCGGGACATGCCTAGCAGAGCTTCCCCGTTGACAAGTAAAATCGGTTAGGAGTATAGGGTTAGGAGTAGGGTTAGGAGTACCTGTACAGTGCCGTAGGAAGCTCTTTTTTATTGGGGAGCTGAAAGCGAGGGCCAAAGGCCCAAGGAAATTTTTTAATTTAGAGTCTCTGAAATGCCATTTCCTGGACTTTGGGGGAAGATTTGACAGAATTCTGATGGTCAGAAAACAGCATTACAATTTAGTAGCACTAAATGGGCGAAGGCATATTTAATTAACTATATATTGGATAAGTTGCAGGAAAGTAAGAGAAATATCTTCATTCTTTGCAGTTTGTCATGGATACTAGTGTAGCCGTTAAAATTAATCAATTGTCAGTATTTTAAACATATCTATGATTTTAAAGTTATTTAAATGATAAAGGTCTGCATGAGTTTGGAAAAACGATTATTAGCACATTATTGCCCCCCCCCCCTACACAGCGCCCCCGGTTGTTACGGTCCTGGGTTAGGAGTAGGGTTGGGGTACTACGTCAATGAACTACAAAGACCGCTAAACAGCTAGTGACTTGGACATTTGACTCGGGCTCAGATTTGACTCGAACTTGACACGGTAAACCGACAAACTGCGTACTTACTAAATTAAAACATGTATAAAATACCTAGTATAAATTAAACTAGTGTATATAGCATATGCCAAACTTTCCCTGGACGTAATGTTGCTACATCGCTTACCGTTAATTATCTTTTTTATTAAAATGTACATAATTGAAATATGACAAAAATTTATGGCAAGTTCATGGCAAAAGTTATGAAGGTAGATGTTCGATTATTTTTCATATTAGCTGCGCGCATTGCATTGTGGGTATTTGTGCATTGCATTTTGGGTCTATCTGTTGATTAAAATTGAGAATTTTGCTAGCTATACATGAATTAAATTTGGTGCCTTGCTCGCTCCCTGTGGTAGCAATAATCGTTACATGTCAATTTTTTCTCCACTATAATACCACTATAATAAATAACTGGACCCCCCCTTCTGAACCAATATTTTTAGGTGCCCCTCCTTTTTTGGTCAAAAATACCTCATGACCCACCCCCTTTTTTTGCCAGCCCACCCCCAGTCATAAATAATGAATGGTCCCTTAAAGGAAAGAAGTCAGAGAAATGAGAGAGGAATGGATCCCTTCCACCACCTGCGAATTTTAGGGCAGATCTGTCTTCAGGCTATTATATTCCATACGCGACAATTACACGACGGAAAGTTCGATTAGTTCCGATCAGACACCGCTGACCCAACAAACAGGCAGAAATCTCAACCATCGTATACATTTCTTAACTATTGCCTAAAACACTTCTCGAGTATCGTACACCTTTTTGAATTCTCGTCTATTGTATGCACTACTCAACTATTGCTTACGCTATTCTCGACTATAGTACTATAGTTTACATTTCTCGACTATCGCTTGCACCAATCTGAAGTATAGTACACACTTTTCACCTATTCTATACAGTTCTCCACTATCGCTTACATTTCTCGATACACTTTTGTCCAGTTTAGCTTTCCATAAATAACCATGAGTGGTGTTATAATTATGTAATCAGATTTGAGATTGCAAATTGCTAGTAACACTTGTTATGATAGTGGCATCCCTATGAAGCTCAAAGGATAATTCAGAATTTATTTATTAGAAATCTGTTCACTCAATGATAAGTGAATGATTTCTTGTAAATGAAGCAATAAGTTGATTTGAATGAATTTTATCAAGAAAGGTCAAGCTTAAATTAATTAAAACTCAGTGCTCGTAAGTGATGCATAAGAACTGGTCGCTATATATCAATGCAAACTGCACTAAGACTTTGCCGGAATAAAGACCAGCTATTTTGTTTGGCTCATATATATCACGACATCCGGCCCTATCAAAATTCTCACGCATGCCCAGTTTGCAGAGAACACCCGACTCCGGAAACTCTACGACGTCCTACAGGATTTTTGAAGAATTATTTAGAAGATCCGAAAATCAAGTGTGACCATCGTAATCGTGGTTGTCTTGACGTCATCCGGCTTGAAGATCTTCAAAGGCATGTTGATGAATGTGGATTCGTGCTCGTCATGTGTGGAAATGAAGGATGTGGGACGGTTGTCAATAAATGAGATCAAGAGAAACATGAAAGAAACCTTTGCCAATTCAGAATCGCCAGATGTCATGACTGTAGAGATTATCAAAGCAAGCCATGTAATATGAAATATATAACTTCTGATTAGATGACTGGAGGATCATGCAAATCTTGGTAAGTAACCAGATTTTGGTCGTGCCCAATGTTAGGTTGCTGCAGCGATCATTACTGCATTCCTACCCCTATAACGTCTCTTCAGGTTTTGACTTAGTCTTTCGTCAATGGCCATGGGTTGGATGTTCCAGTTAGCGAACGTAATAAACCGATTTCCACTCTAATTAGCAAATTCCGATCAGCAAATGGAAGAAACGAAAAGGAAATTGTACGAGCGCGTATGATTTGTTTCTGCATAATCTGATTATCTAATTTCTTTGAACTAAAATGTATCTGTTTCCACTTTTTTCGAAGATTCTTAAAGGCTGGTGAATGTTTAAGAGTCGTTCAGTGCCTTTTCGTGCCGATTTTATCCGCGATTTAAATTAAACAACACGAACTATCCCAACGTGTGGCTATAGTGTTTTTCCAATCTATCTATTAAAAACGTCGAGCTTGAAGCAGCACTTTCATATCGACAGTATTAAATAAAGTAAATCATAGTGGTAATTGTTTTTCAGATCTACTTTTGACTAGTGAATTAACAAGGCATCTATTTTTCTCACGGTTCCAACCAGTTCATGGGCAGAAGTAATACCGGATACATCGGAAGTCGTCCATGCAGTATAACAATCCCACTATTCCGGATTTATTTGTAAAAAAGTATACAATGTCATGACCGTGGAGATATCTTATCATTAATATCCTACGGGAAAAAATTGCGGAGGCGCTAGCCCTATCAGAATGGGGTAAGAGAAATCTTGCCGATTTATTTCTCCTGCGTATACAAGTATACAACTAATTTTTCTGTTAACAGCTGTACAATATACATAATGATTAAAATATTCCAATAATTTACACAAATTTTACTTCCATCGCCAAAATACCGAACTATACATAGAACTCTATCGAACCAAAGTATTCCTAAACATTCAGCAACGAAATTAAAGTGAGTAATAATATTTATAATGTTTTGTTCGTCCAAAATACGTTATGAATAAAAAAAATATATTAAACTTTGATTGTTTATTAGTAACAAACATAATGGCGGAAAGCTTTCCAAATTATATCGCTTATCAAATTATTATCCCTAAGCTCTATAAAACGTAATAGCTAAATGCAGCACTATTTTCACGCTCCCCCCGGATTGTTTACTCTATCTAATAAATCTGAATTGCTTTCGCACTTTTCTAGTTCTTTTGTGTGCTTTGCTTATACAAATGGAAATTATTGGGGGGCTCAAGCCCCCCCCCCAGCCCCCCGTCCCAGCCCCCTCCCCCCAGTCCCCCCAGTCCCCCCAGTCCCTCCCCAGTCCCCCAGTCCCCAGTCCCACCCCAGTCCCCCCCAGCCCCCCTATATTATTTATTGATTGATCTCTCACTCGATTGAATTTCGCATTCTCACAAAAGTGCACAGGTCATATGACCTCTAAAATGAAAATAAACACGGTATTTAAATTAAGCAAGAAAATTTATTAGCCAAATATTATGGTCATGTAGTTACAAACCCTTGGAAATTAATCTAAAAGAAGTTCTGATTATTCATGCAGATGGTAAGGCAGAATTTTCAGGATCGTGGCCTACAAGACTCAGTACTGCTCCTGCTCCCGTCCAGTCTGATGTTGTACCGGTACTCTGGAGATCGTCAGTTTCCGAACGCATATGCAATTCACCATCTTTCATTTGGAACAGAGGAGTGTTGTTCTCCGCGTCAGGATCCACAAATGGAAGGAGATCCGTCACAACATCTGTGTTTATCTCTCTGTCAGGATGTTGGTATGCTTCATGTACTTGATCAACAGATTTCTGGACTGCCTGAACGACCTTCTGGAGATTATCTTGACTTCCATTCTTCAGAAGATACCCATCGCCGTAAGCTATCCACTTCGTATTTTTATTATTTTTAACACGTAAACCAAATTTGCTGTCTTCATCATGCATGTACTTGCTTAGGTAGTCTCCATTTAATGGGATCCAAAGTTGCTTATATAGCTGCACTCTTGGTGTCCTGAATATGGGGAAAATATTACAAATTAAAATTCTAAGTTGATTCTTAAATGTAACTAATTGATAAATAATTATTTAGTTAATTTAATATAAAGTATGTTAATTCATTACAGCTGATCTCAATTGGACACAAGCGAAAGCGATTTTGAAGGAAATTTCGATGTCAACTTATATCAATTTCTCCGAAACTCCACGTGATAAAAACAAAATGTTCTATTACGAGTCATTACCATCAGTGCCATGCATGAGTGAACTCCATTAAAACTACGTGGCACGATAAAAGACCCTGTGATTGGGTGAAGCCAACAGTAATTAGCCTTTTCCCAAAAGAGATCACAGTGCATTCTGGGATCGTTTGGAGGGACAAAATATATGGTGACAGGCGTCACATATGTGAAAGAGTAGAAGTATCTATTATCAAATATCAACTTTTTAGACGAAATGAAATATCTCCTTTTTAGATCAAACTTTTAATTTAAGGTGGCTCTCTACAGAATTTTTTTAAACTCGTTTAAATATTCCATCATACTTGTTGAAAACGTTTCATGAAATAAAAAATGGGGGTAACCGGACGTTTTTTCGAGTAAAATACGTTTAAAGCCAAAATGTTGGCCATATTGAAACGTCATTGTTGCCATAGCGACGACAATGACGTCATTTTTATTAATCATTTCCAACTCTAAAAATATTGTTTTATATAAGTCACACAATTCCTGTTCCCTAACAAACAACAATCCTGAAAACATTTTGACCCAAATCATAAATTTTTCAGATTTCAAGAAACTATAGGGAGCCACCTTAAATGTGTGCTGCCATCAAGATTTCTTGTCCCTCCAACATGAGATTTGCGCGACTAGACCCAGAGCTTTGGGAAATGACTAATTTCTTTTAGGTATACAAAACACGAGTGTACTTCGTATGGGCGTTGCGGGAGGGGAAAAATTACTAAGGCTTTCTGACCGATCGATGTTTTTCAGTATTTGGAGGTAAATCCTCATTTTTGGTGGTTAAGTAACCTAAACGCTAAAGACTAAATAAAATGCAAGACTGCATGCAACTTTTCAAATCCCTCATAGATAGTCCAGAAAAATACAATTTTGCTCATGTTTCTCAGTCACCGTTTTAATTTCACCCAAACATTTTTTCTTCAATTTTAATATGGTGCATGGAAGTGTTTCTAATATTTACTTGTTCTAAAAGGCCACTTGGGGTAAAATATTCAATTTCATTAAAATAGTTGACTGAAAAATCATGAAATTCTACATCAAACGTTGCTGAATTTTTGTACTATGTTCAGTGGTTTTCTCCGTCGTAGGGGCCCAGTGTATATTACAAGATTGCCTTCAATTCCCACCATCTCGGCTTCCAAAACAAAACCAGAGTTATTGTTGCAGCCTATATATAGAGTTCACTGGTCATTAGGCCTACTACCCACAAATGCATGGGGCTTAAGCCTGATCCATACATACAAATGCTGCGCGGTAACTTCAAACTCTGCTTTACAAAATTAGGGAATTCATTACAGTCTGCTACTGGCTTTCATCATGCAATCCACCTCGACTGAATAAATAGATCTATAAAGTTCTGCCGCCACTCATTGTCGCAGGTGTAGGATGCGTTAATTGGTAGTGAAGTCGCGTGGGCAGTTTTAATAGAATTGGTTATAGTATAGGTCAAACGTATCATCCAACTTGAACAGATTTTAAGGATTATTCTATTATTGACTTTTGAGGTAAATTAAAAATTCAGCATTTATACACGTACTGTTTTCATAACCTGAATAATATTTGGCAACTGACCTGATGTGACCACTTGAAAAGCAGTCAGTAAGATAATGTCCAGCAAATGCATCCAAAGAGTAAGCCTCCATCAACTTTTTCTTCTTATTTTCAACATTTGTGTCTCTTGCCGCCACTCGAGCTTTTTCCATAGCCAATTGATGTCCTACAAGGTAAGCTTGTTTCGCTTGCGGCTGAAAATGATCGTAATTTTTTATTGCTAGACTTAACATATTGGGCGAAGCCGCGCCATATTCAGAATGAGAATGAAGTTCCCCCTCGCCCGATGCTCTTACAGCCTTTTCTTCGTTGAACATTGTCACAAGTGTGTTCAGTTGGTTGGTTTCATTCGCATTAAATTCTTTAGTCGCAAGCGTGGCATAAGCTGCTAAGAATCTCTCACGACGTCTTTGATTTTCTTCACTACCGGTATCATCAGTATTAATGTCGATAATCGGATTATTAGATACGCCATAAAAGTCACCACCCAACGCTATTATTTGACCAAATTTCAGTTCAATTCCATTGGGGAGCGTCAACTTCGTGTTCATTCCCGGTTCATGTAAATCAGCACGACTTCCAATCAAGTCATGCTCATCTGCCTCGAAATATGAAGTTCGTTCCTATGGGGGAAAATTATACAAAAATACCATGGTCATGTGGATCTAGTTCTCTGATAGGACAAGCTTATTGTGAGGTATATTTTGTGAAACGCATAGTAAAAATTCATGAAGACAACACCAAAGAAATCATGAGCGTGAAGAAGTTTGTATATTTGATACAGAATCATGATATATAATATATATATATATATATATATATATATATATATATATATATATATATATATATATATATATATATATATATATATATATATATATATATATATATATATATACTATATATATATATATATATATATATATATATATATATATATATATATATATATATATATATATATATATATATATATATATATATATATATATATATATATATATATATATATATATATATATATATATATATATATTTATATATATAGCATGATTCTGCTAAATGATTCTGCAAAATATAGCATGATTCGGCAAATGTCGTCACAAAAACCGCTTTCGAGTAAACAAGGTCGTTAACAAAACCTAATGACCCAAGCATGCATTGTTTCGCCTAAGCATTGTTTCGCCTACACGCATTCCGCACATTCTTTCGATAGCATAAAAGCAACCTACAATTTCGAAATTACTCACCATGACCTCAGGGCATTTTTTAACTATATAACTGGGGGGGCCAAAGCCCCCCCAGCCCCCATGGTGGCCCCCCCACTCAACCATTTTGCCCCCCCCCCAGTCAAAATCCCTTTTCTCTAAAATATAAGCAAAACATGGAATTTAGAAGGGAGGTTTGATATTCTAGTAACTGAAATTTGCTTTGTGAATCTTATGTCCTGTCTTTTATGTTTAATAAATACCTTATTAGATTTTAAACATTTCCCAGGCAGTGGATTGCATTACCCAGACCCTATAGATTTGAGTTGTTGGACAAGTTAGTGACTGCAGGGGGCAACAGGCCCTCAACCAAGTGTTTTAGTATAAGGGGGGGGGGATAATTTTGGCCCCCACAAAAAAAAAACAACAATTTGATTTCGAAACTAGAAGTATTTGAAATCATATATACATATAATCAAATATCTGTAATCGAAATTTTGATAACATTTCTCGTAATAATCCATCCTGACTAGCGGATATCATAGACTCACAAATCATAATGAACGAATTAATGAAAGGGCCAAACAAAAGACGTATAGAAGACTTTGAAAATGCCATTTCCGATGATTTAGAGACGCAAAATTTTTCCGCTCTGTGCCAACACAGTTCTTAGTCTATAAACTGTGGTGGGAGTCGGGAACTCTAAGTTTATCAAGCTGGCTCCCTAAGTGACGGCAAAGTTGTGGTATCTACATAAACATACTATGCAAGTACTGTACTTAACTGAAGGTCAGTCTATCTACAGCATAATGTAATGCTGTATATCCAAAAATCTGTTTCAGAAAATGCAGGGAATTGCAGTGATAGGGGTAGAAAAATACAAAAATTTTCTGGGGAGAAAACCCCAGACCCTCTCCAGGGTCGTAGGGTCATCCATTTTTCAAAATCATGCAGACCTTTATTATTTAATCCATGACAAACTGCAAAGAATGAAGATATTACCCATACTTTCTTGCAACTTATCCAATATATCGTTAATTAAATACACCTTCGTCCATTTAGTTCTACTGAATTCTAAATTTCCACATACTAAAAACGCTGTTTTCTGACAATCAGAAATCTGTCAAATCTTCCCCAAAGTCCAGGAAATGGCATTTCAGAGACTCTAAATTTAAAAATTTCCTCGGGCCTTCGGCCCTCGCTTTTAGCCCCCCCCCCAAACGAAAAGAGCTTCCTACGGCCATGCTCTCCCTCCCCCCCCTACTATTATATGCGATACCACACCAAACTTTTTGTTACCAACAAACCATCTATCATTGCTCCACACTCGGTATAGTATGGTCCCTTTTTGTAGATGGCCCCCCCACTGACGAATTCTTAAAAAATGCCCTGCATGACCTGATGATTCCTATACGGATGAAACAGACTGCTGTGGTTTTTTGAGGTAAAACGAAAAGCTATATTACGCTCTATGTATATGGTATTGAGCACTGTTTGTGTTTCGTAAACCAAAATCTTAAGCTATATTTGCACCCGGTAAACGGTTGTGCACTCTTGTCTACGTTATTCATTTTATTTCTATACTTCAAACATGCGACAATTTCGATTCGATTATTCACTAAAAAATATTCCTATACCATCACAGGATGCTTACTTAAAGAATTTGATTGAAAAAGTGGAAAGCGTAACAAAACGTATGAGATGGAAAGCTAATTTCTTCCTAAAAGGATCAACGACTCAAAACCAAAGCAACCTTTCGGCCTTTCGTCTAACAAATCGCCTCCTTCAATTCCACTTTTGAAACCTTTCGAAGACGACTTGATAAAACTAATTGAAAACGTAAAATTCCGATGTTCTAAAGACCAATTTCAGACATCTTTGGCTAACGATTTGAAGAAAATTAATTCATCCCCCAACATTTTCATTTTCGCGGACAAAACTAGAAACATTTACGAAACGTCACTGAACACATACAAGAACTCTTACATGACAACATCACGAAAACGTAGGGTTAGGAATTGGCGACAGAATTGAACGAATGAAAAAACGCGAAGCATTTATATATCTTTAAAAGATCACAAAGAAAATTTCGAAAACAATCCAAAATGCCGACTAATTAATCCCGCAAAAAGCGAATCCGGAAAACTAAGTAAGGTTATTTTAGATAAAATCAATTCCAACTTGAGACAAAAACTAAATTCAAATCAATGGAGAAATACGCAACAAGTAATTTCATGTTTTGGCAATATAAACGATAAAGACAGGCACAGTTTTATTTCATTTGATATTGTGGATTTTTACCCATCTATTTCCGAAAAACTTTTGAATGAAGCATTGACCTGGGCTTCGGATTTGACTACTATTACCAAAAACGATATTTCAATAATAAAACATGCAAGAAAATCTCTACTTTTCGGCAACGGCAAATTATGGACAAAAAAAGACGGAAGCAATAGTTTATTTGACGTCACTATGGGTAGTTCCGACGGCGCTGAAATTTGTGAGCTGGTAGGCCTTTTCATTTTAAATCACTTAGGTAAGAGGTTTGACAAGGAAAACATCGGCCTTTATAGAGATGATGGTTTGGCTATTATAAAAAGCAAAACCGCCCGTTTACTAGACAAAACTAGAAAAGAGCTACACAAAATTTTCGAGCAATTTGACCTTAAAATCACCGCCAAAGTAAATATGAACGTTGTAAATTTTCTAGATGTTACTTTCGACCTGATCAACGCAAAACACAAACATAGTAACTTTGATCACGAATTTACGTACACTCATGCAGTATGCACCGCAACGGACACGTAGGAATAGGCAACGCAACATAATTTGGTTCAACCCACCATTTAGTAAGAGTGTTAACACGAGCATAGGACGGGAATTCTTAAGTTTAATTGACAAACACTTCCCACTACAGCACAAACTACATAAGATTTTTAACAGAAACACTTTAAAAGTAAGCTACAGTTGCATGAACAACGTTAAGTCTATAATCACCAAACACAACGCACATATAATTAGGAACAGTCAATCACAGAATACGGAAACTGACAACTGTAACTGCGACAACAAAAACACTTGCCCACTACCGAAACAATGTATGACCAACAACATTATTTACAAAGCCACAGTCACAACGAACAACACGAACGACACTAAACACTACATTGGTAGCCTATGACAGCGACTACATTTAAGGAACGTTACGCTAACCACACTTCATCTTTTCGTCATAAAAAAGATTCAAACAAAACGGAACTTTCGAAACATATTCGGAAATTAAAAGAAAACAATCAGGATTATACCATCAAATGGTCAATTTTAAAACACGCTATTTCGTACACAGGGGGATCAAAACGCTGCAATTTATGTTTGGAAGGAAAATTTTGCATTTTGAAAGACATAAACAAAGACAATTTACTCAATAAAAGAAGCGAAATTTTCGGCAAATGTCGTCACAAAAATCGGTTTCGAGTAATATATATATATATATATATATATATATATATATATATATATATATATATATATATATATATATATATATATATATATATATATATATATATATATATATATATATATATATATATATATATATAAATCAATTTAAAAAGCAGAGACTATGCAACTTCGACCATCAATTTATTAAAAAAACTAAAACATTGAAAATTGAACAGAGCGAACGTATTACCGCGAGCGAGCTTATTGCCAAAAGCCGACACTGACAGTACCCGTCCTGGTGATACATTAATTGCTGTGCTAAGGTAATTCAGTTATTAGTTTAATATATATATATATATATAATTATCATTGTACAGACCGATTAATCGAAAATCGTTGTCATTTTTTTTGGAGAATATAATTTCGAAATCACTACCACAATATTTCAAGACTAACCGTTTTACAAGATATACTGAATTTAATATATACCGTATGTATTCTCTTTGAGAAATGAAATGTTTAAAATACCGACGTTTATTCTAGATTTAGCAAACAAAGCCTGCATGACTATAGCCTCGTTTTGAAGCTTCTTCTTTGTTTTCAATCTTGACCTTGACTTCGCGTTAAACAACATTTCCTGTTGAAAAAATGTTTATTAGCCTATAAGTAATGCATAAGGTAAATGCACAAGAAAAAAGATATAAAACAATGCAAAGTTGTGCATATTGAATGGTATAGCTATTTTTTGAATAGGTCAATAATGAGAGTTTAATTTCATGACAATTCATGGATTTTCAATAATGAAAGATGTTCAATAATCTTGACCCACGTAGATGCATGACGAATTCGAGATTAACATGTTTTGACATTCAGTGTCACCTGTGTAAAAGTGTGTACGTTTGAAACTCCAATTACCCTAGTAATAAGTTCATTATGACACCTGTAACTTCCTTTTTGGATGAATTCACATTTGGATAAATTCAAATGACATCTTAAACAATATATCCCCGGATAACGTTTGCAGATTAATGTTAGATGAGTTCTATACACGATTGTTACAATAATTTTCACAGACAGTTGTTCTTTCGGTCAGCTTGTGGGTTTGCAGGATATAAGTACGTTTTTAACAACAACAACAACAACAACAACAACAACAACAACAACAACAACAACAACAACAACAACAACAACAACAACAACAACAACAACAACAACAACAACAACAACAACAACAACAACAACAACAACAACAACAACAACGACGATGATGACAACAGTGACAAAAACAGCTGCTACAATGAGCCGACATACATCTCAACCAAAGCTCAACAATGGCGCAGATACGCGCTTATTCTATTAATATCTATATTGTTTGAAATAATTAGCTAACTCAATTATTCTCCATTCTGAACGTCATAGTAGTCACAACATAGTCATTTCCTGGTTTTTTTTAGACTATTTATTATAAAGAATTGATAATGGGAGCTTTCATTGGAATTTTCTTTATGATGATCATATTTGCGTTTACGGGAACAGTTCAACCTGCTCCGAAAGTAAGAGTCAAAACTCAAGTTACTTTAGTATTAATAGACTGTAGCTACTGTTTATTGCACTATTATACTATACCGTATATACACATATAAAACGACCCACTAAGGCCACTATCTATAAAGAGTTCACTGGCGAAGTAATTTTAAGAATAAACGTCGTCTATAAACTGAGAAAATCAAAGCTATAAAGTTTATGTAAATGAAATGATTTTTTATCTCATATCAAATCGCTGACATGCGCAGCAGTGATATATATATATATATATATATATATATATATATATATATATATATATATATATATATATATATATACAGGGTGTATCAAAAAAAGCGCAATCCTCGACTGAAATGTAAATTGCTAAACAAATAATAGACGAAAACGTTAAAGTTTACGTTCATTTTAAAGCGTAGCCATTCAGCTTTCTAACAGTGGGTTGTTTCTTAAATTTCACTCGAGCGACTCGAGATCATATAAGACTCGACTTAAATTTGACATTCAAATTATATATATATATATATATATATATATATATATATATATATATTATATATATATATATATATATATATATATATATATATATATTATATATTATATATATATATATATATATATATATTATATATATATATATATATATATATATTATATATCATGATTCTGTATCAAATATACAAACTTCTTCACGCTCATGATTTCTTTGGTGTTGTCTTCATGAATTTTTATTATGCGTTTCACAAAATATACCTCACAATAAGCTTGTCCTATCAGAGAACTAGATCCACATGACCATGGTATTTTTGTATAATTTTCCCCCATAGGAACGAACTTCATATTTCGAGGCAGATGAGCATGACTTGATTGGAAGTCGTGCTGATTTACATGAACCGGGAATGAACACGAAGTTGACGCTCCCCAATGGAATTGAACTGAAATTTGGTCAAATAATAGCGTTGGGTGGTGACTTTTATGGCGTATCTAATAATCCGATTATCGACATTAATACTGATGATACCGGTAGTGAAGAAAATCAAAGACGTCGTGAGAGATTCTTAGCAGCTTATGCCACGCTTGCGACTAAAGAATTTAATGCGAATGAAACCAACCAACTGAACACACTTGTGACAATGTTCAACGAAGAAAAGGCTGTAAGAGCATCGGGCGAGGGGGAACTTCATTCTCATTCTGA